GCATCCTTCAACAAGAAGTCGATGAACCAGTATTTTTGCTTTATTGCTCAAGGGCTAGCAGTGGAAGATTCAGGGACGAATCAGAGCTACAAGCATGCCACTCCTCTAGTAACCTGAATTGATTGTAAAAACACCTGCGAGTTTCGGCAGGATCCTCATAGTAGAATCTTTTGTTTTGGAATCTGTAGTGTTCTTTCCACATTAATTTTCTTAATTCATTTGGTCTTTGTATACCGATATAGTGTGTTTGAGGATATGGCGTGTTTGAGATTGTTTTTCGTGTTTTTTACTCGAAAATATAATAAGATAATATTTTTTTTAATTTTAAAATTTATTTTTTTGAAAAAATACAGCTGTTCCCCGAAATCAAACACTGCGAATTTTAACTATATTGTTAGTTCCTCAACAGATATCAAAAGCTGATGTCGAAGTTGATGGAGACATTCATGTGGATGATTAGTTGGGAAGCAAGACGACAATATGGCTATTAGATCCATGGTTAATGTCCTACGACTCTAACTATATTCTTCTTGGTCTGCTGCACTTGTAATTGATGATTCAACAAAATCAGGTGTGTAACATGTTCATCCCAAATCGAATGCACCATCTGCATCAAATATAGAAAGCACCATTTCTATATAGCAGAATACCCTTATGGACCTCGTGATTTCTTGACAAGATTTTGTAACTAACCCATTTTTGGTCAAATAATTAAGTATTTTTTTTGTATTCACAGCTCTGTTTAGAACTCATAAATGTTAGCGCAGTAGCATTAATAATAGTAATAATAAAAAAAAAACTCTCCTTTTATATTCATATATTTTCAGTTTAATAATCTAATTATAACTTTTTTTTTTAGGAATCAGCGATCAGCTAGTATCTATCGGTAGTTATCAGGATTACAAATTCAACGTGTAATCTTCAAATATACTCAAATTGAGTAATGAAGCCCCTCCTGATATAAACATCAAATAAGATTAAGGTATTTTAGTGTTTTTATTGGAGAAATCTCATGTCTTTTCTCAACAAAAAGGTTAACAAGATTTAAAATTTAATCTGAAAAAGAAATAGTATTTCTTTCTCAAATAATTGAGTATTTCTTTGTATTCAACCACAGTATCTAAAGCTCATAAGTGTTAGCAGATTAATAAATAAAAAAATTAGACTCCCCTCTTTATATCTCCATGTTTCCGGTTTAATGATCTAATTATAGTTTGTTTGTTTTTTTTCTAGAAATCAACAATTAACTAGTGGTTATCAGGATTACAAATTCAACGTGCAATCTTTAAATATATGAAAATCGACTAATGAAGCCTCTCCTCTTGATATAAACATCAAACAAGATAAGGGTATCTTGGTGCTTTTATAGGAGAGATCCCTTACCCTTCCACAACAAACAGGTCAACAAGATTTAAAATTTAGCTAGTAAAAAAAATGGTATTTTTTAGTCAAATAATTGAGTATTTCTTTGTATCCACCTTATTGTTTGGAGCTCTGAAGTGTTGGTGGATTAATAAAAAATAAAAAAAAAATAGACTCTTCCCTTTATATCTCCATGTTTCCAACTTAATAATCTAATTATAGCTTGTTTTTTTAGGAATCAGCGATCAACTAGTAGCTATTAGATTATAAATTCAACCTACAATCTTTAAATATGAGCAAATGGACTAATAAAGCCCCTCCTCTTAATATAAACATCAAACAAGATAAGGGTAGTTTGGTGTTTTTTTAAGAGAAATCCCCTATCTTTCTCAACAAACAGGTAAGCAAGATTCAAAATTTAGCTCGGAAGATAAATGGTATCCTAACCACCAATTGCCAATTTACCATCTTTGGTATAAGGATCATCTGCTAATTACAGAATCCTCCACCGATATTCTCTCGCGTATCTTCATTATAAATTGTATTTGGAGGCGACCATTTTATTGGAGTTTCCTGTGGCTCGAGGAGAAGGATATTCCGGGAGGCTAAGATCGCTTTGAATCAAACAAACGTTTCTGTGACTTTTTGTTGTGTTACGTAAACTAGCTTGATTGCAATTATGTCATACAACGAGTCACAGAACGATGAAGCAGCAAGAGAAAAGGCCATAAATGATTGGCTTCCAGTCACTTCCTCGAGGAATGCCAAATGGTGGTACTCAACCTTCCACAATGTCACTGCCATGGTTGGTGCTGGTGTTCTTAGTCTCCCCTATGCCATGGCTCAACTTGGATGGTATGTATCTATAAATATATGCTTAATCTTAACTTTACTATATATACATAGATCAATATATGTATGAGCTTAACTATTAATTAATTTTTTGTTCTGCATCCATGAAATTTTAGGGGACCAGGTGTTGCCATACTTGTTTTATCATGGGTGATCACGCTATACACTCTATGGCAAATGGTTGAAATGCATGAGATGGTTCCTGGTAAGCGATTTGATAGATACCATGAGCTAGGGCAACATGCGTTTGGAGAGAAGTTGGGTCTCTGGATTGTTGTGCCACAGCAACTAGTTGTACAAGTTGGAGTAAACATAGTCTATATGGTTACCGGAGGAAAATCATTGAAGAAGTTCCATGATTTGGTTTGCTCCGACTGCAAAGACATCAGGCTAACGTACTTCATCATGATTTTCGCTTCGCTTCAGTTTGTTCTGGCTCATCTTCCCAATCTCAACTCCATTAGTGTTATCTCTCTGGCTGCAGCAGTCATGTCCTTGAGGTACGCACCTAGCTACTCAATTCGCCTCACTATTCAGTTTAATCTATATACGTATATAATCCAAGACCCTCTTTTTTATATGGATATGGCGGTGATTGCATCATGCAGTTACTCCACAATTGCCTGGGGAGCCACGCTTAATAAGGGTGTTCAGCCTGATGTCGACTACAGCTATAAAGCGAGCACTAAAACCGGAGCTGTCTTTGACTTTTTCTCTGCCTTGGGTGATATAGCTTTTGCATATGCCGGTCACAATGTGATCTTGGAGATCCAAGCAACAATTCCCTCTACTCCAGAGAAGCCTTCCAAGAAACCCATGTGGAGAGGAGCCTTCCTTGCATATGTCGTCGTCGCCATCTGCTACTTCCCAGTTGCCTTGATTGGATACTGGTTTTTTGGAAACAGCGTGGAAGACAACATTCTTATCTCACTCGAGAAACCAGCTTGGCTTATTGCAACTGCTAACATGTTTGTTGTCATTCATGTTATTGGAAGCTATCAGGTGCGTTTTACTTCTTTTTTTCCCTGGTTAATTCAGTTTCGGTCGATTCCAGCGCCTACTGCATGCACACATACATGTATATTGACTCATGATGCATGTTTCAATCTGCAGATATATGCTATGGCAGTGTTCGACATGTTGGAAACTGCATTGGTGAAGAAACTCCATTTTTCTCCTTCTTTCATGCTTCGCTTTGTTACTCGCACGGTATATGTTGGTAAGTGCAGCTTCCAGGCCGCTCTATTTTTCTTTCAGCTAGCAAGCTACCTATTCTGAACGCCTCTGCAAGTTTGTATCTGCAGCTTTGGGCGCTCAATCTCTTCTTTGAATATTGTTTGCTGCAGGGTTCACAATGATTGTTGGCATATGTATTCCATTCTTCGGTGGCCTGCTTTCGTTCTTCGGAGGATTTGCTTTTGCCCCAACAACATACTTCGTGAGAACTCATTACTAACCCAGTATATATATATATATATATCATTTACCACATACTTGCTTCATATTTATGCTATCATCACTGACAAAAAAATCAACTCTTTACAGCTCCCTTGCATCATGTGGCTTGCCATCTATAAACCCAAGAAGTTCAGCTTCTCTTGGATAGCAAATTGGGTGCGTAAGCTTGACATTGTTTAGAAATCAATTATATTTTGAGGTTTGCATGAGCTGAATAATTCAAAAATATATTTCAGGTCTGCATTGTGCTTGGAATTTTGCTGATGATATTGTCACCCATTGGTGCCCTAAGACATATCATCCTTACAGCCAAAGACTACGAGTTCTTCTCATGAGCATCACACCAAATGCGAGACAAGGGCAGACCAAGTGTAAAGAAAGGGTGTTGATTGAGCTGCTGGTTATGGCCTTTGAACTTAGCAGGAAACTCAAATTTAATTAACAGTTGTAGAGTTGATGTTGTGTCCTCCTGTTTATACAGCGCTTGGGGAGCTGGTTTGTTTTATGTTAAGATTTCTCTGTATCAAACAACAATAACAACTTCTCCATCGTTGATAACTTTCATGGGGGTTTGCATGAAATTTTAGTTTGGAAAGGGTTCTTTCTTTCTTTCTTCCATGAAAGTTTCTCAAGCTGTTCAAAAATGCAAGTTGGCATCTACGGAATATTACACTAATGGTGTTAAAAACAAAATCTTGCATGCCAATATTTTCTTTTATTTAATGATTGTTTTTTTTATATCAAAACTATATTTTTTATTAATTTTTAAATCTAAAATTATTAAAATTCATTTAAATCATAAACAATTACCTGGAAGATATATCCACTTATACTAATCAATCGTGGTATATTATGTAACAATATATACCCACATTTTGCTAAAGAGGAATAGTAGTGGTAAAGAAGGGAAATAAATGGCAAGAAGTAAAAGATGAAAGATAATTAATAAAAGTATAAATATATATTTATAAATAGAAAATATCCTCAAATCAAATCGAGAAATTAAATTATTGTTCTAAAAAACTAAAAAAAAAATTAAAAATTAAAAAAAAAACATGTAATAACATGCTTTAATGATTATTTATTTATTTATTTATAACATATATATTTATTTTATTTTATTTTTTATATGAAAATGTATTGAATAATCCCTCGCCCGGACAAAAAATAACAATTTATATATATATAAAACAATTTGCCAGGCAAACGGGCTGGAACGGGCCCATTGGACCGGACTTCTTTGAGGGCATTTTCGAAATAAATGTAAAGGAGAGGGGAGTATAAATTAAAAACCCGCGAAGACATCTATTTTGTCTACCGAACAACTTTATCTTCCCGCCATTTTGCTCAAAGGGAGAGAGAGAATCTGAGAGGGGGAGAGAACGAAACCCTAAGAGAGAGAATCTGAGAGGGGGAGAGAGGTTGCTTGATGGAAGAGGAAATCAAAGAAGAATTTAAGAAGAGCGGGTTCTCTCTAGACGATGAAGAAGAAGTCCTCAAGAAATGTAAGCCCTGCTTTGCACTTTTGTCCCTTAATTTTCTTGCAATGCCAATAGTTCTGTTCAGATCATAATGTGCTTTAATTATTAGGTCTTACTTTCTGTATAAATTACAATCTGAAGCCATCAGACCTCGTCTCGAGCTGGGAGGTTTACTATCTCAATAGGTGAGCTCCGTCTAGGTTTCTTTTTTCTTTATTATTTTCATGGTAATTTATTTATTTTTATAGAGTTTTCGCCGTAAAAAAGAACAAAATTATTGCCTTTCAAGCTTAACTTTGGTGCAGGCTACTTGATGAATCGACGGTTCGAAATGCTGAAATGGATGGGTTTTTGTTGCACCTGCAGAATGAACAGAAAGAAGCCGTTGTTAAAGAGGAACCCGATTTGTACATCTATTCAAGCAAAGATGTGGACATGTGAGCAGTTTATTTGACTACTCTTTCTTTGTTTTGCTCGTTAATTTGTTTCTGTGCTGGATTGAAAATGTTTGGTCTGTTAAATTTGATTGAAATGTATCATGCTGTCTAGGATCTTGAATTACGATGAAGAAGATATGAAAGAAGAAGTTCCCGGGACCCCAACAGACAAATCTTTAAAACTCAACTCAGATCCATTCAATTCAACACCCAAATCGTATGGAAATGGCTATTCTTCTGGTAAACCATCAAAACTTGTGACACCGTTTGGACGGCGGACTGATAAGTTTGTAGTCAAATTCAACATCAATAGCCTTCCTGTGGTGGATAACAATGATGGTGAGCATGACCATGGGAATCTTGAGGATGAAATTATTAGGAGGGCTCAACCCTGCAAGAGGTGTTCTTTGATGGTCCATAGATTGGGGCCAGAACCTGGTTGCAGGTTCATGTATGACAAGATTGAAGATAGGGTATATGATGCTTCTTATTGCATAAACTATAAAGTGGTTCTTCGTACCTCCAATTTTTCTGTATTTCACTAACATAATTTTCCAACCATTCAGTTTAATGCACTAGAAAATCGCATTAGAAAGCATGCAACTGTGCTCTTTGCTTCTGGGCTGTATAAGGAACCAATGGACCCAACAGTTGCTTCACAGGTAACTTGGCTGTTGTCTGCTTTCATTTATCTTCTCGTTAGCATTCTGATAACTGCAATCATGCCAGCATGAAATAACATGGCCACGTGCTTATCTCTGTTAGATGTAAATAACTGTGTGGGGACCCTAACATATCAATTGTGTTAGATATCTTATATCCAAAATTCTCCCTATACTCTTCTGTTATTTGCTTCTTCTTTTTTCTTGTGAAAGAGAAAGAAAATAATTTTTTAGTTTGCCTTTGATGAATTAATTGCTTTCTAAATTCTCCAGCATGCTTTATGTAAACTTTTACACTGCTATAAAGCTGTTCATCCATGCCTCTGATTAGAACTATTGTTTCAGAGAAATATATTTGCTGTCGGAATGATCTGTTGTGATGGAGAAGGGCGTTTAAATGAGAAATCCATCATGTTGCAAAGCAGGTAAGAAGTCACATGATTTTCCTTTGTGCTATTCATTTGCATCAATCAACTTGTAAGGGAAATGATGTGACGTGCACAATAGGACATCCATGATGAAGTAGATTTATGCGCTGGTATATTTAAGGAGAACAGAAATGATGTCAATTCATGGTCTAAAAATCTGGTCTCATTTTGGAAGAAGCCCGTGTATGAGGCAATGTGATAAAAATTAACTGTCTTGGCCAAGTTTGCCCCCGAAGGGTTGTGTCCAGGCTAAAGCGGGGCCTAGATTGCCCAGTTCCTAGATTCATAGTCAAAAGATCTGACAATCAGGGTGTTCTTGTTGTGATATGAACGATGGTCACGGGAAAGAGACTGTTGAATGCCAGTCCTGATTATGTGTGCCATATCTATGCAACAGTGTTGAGCATTCTGGAGGCTGCAATGCTCGTTTAGAATTGCATAACTTGAGCCAATTCTCCATTTTTCCAGGACAGGTAAACTATAAATAAGATTATTGATCTTTGATCCATATATCCCTAAATCAAGCTTAGCCCACAAGGTTGCATTTCTGCAGATTGTAGGTATTGAAGGTCAAAATCCTAGTGGACATTGTTTGATTGCATCTAAACTGGTGGACTCAGTTCCTTTATCTGCCACTGTTGCTGTGAATCAGCATCCTACAAAGAAGCAAGCTTTGGATCTGGTGGTTGAGTCAACCGATTCTTCTTTTGTACAAAAGGAGATATCAGCTGGATGTAGTTTTGTCTTCTGCTTCAATTGAGGATATTAGAATAACACTGTTTCTTGTGCTTGATCATAAGCCATACATGCCATGTTTCATAGCTGTTGCTGAGTGGAAGGGACAGATGATTTGGGGTGCAAACATTGGAAGAGTCCATAGTATAGCATTTAACTGAAAATATGGAATTAAAATAGTTTAAAATGTTCAGGATCAATGATGCGCTTGTAGAAGCTAATGACTTAAAGGCTTTCAGATGGGATAGATTTGAAAAGTATCAGCAGCAGCGTGTGCATTTCATTTGTTAACTGTAGAGAAACTACTGCAAAGCTGAGAAGGCAGGAGGTTTTAAATTGCTGCTTGAAGCGGATAAAACTTGCATACTCGTAGAATAAAAGCTTAAACCTCGCCACTTAAGAGAATAATTCACTTTTCTGCCAAAGTTTTCATTCATAAGTCACATGTGAGATCATAATAAATTGAGCAATCATGTTTGCTCTCTTGTATTTTTGCAATACTTCGATCCTATAGGAAATAATCTGTTTGTATCTAACAGCTTATTGCTTCGGGCCCTTTCACCACAACAGACAACTTATTCTTTGAGCCTCTGACAGAGCTGCTTGCATATGCGGGCAGAAAGTTACCACAATTACTTGTACTGGTATGATTTTACTATTTTTGAATGCGTTGTCATGCTTGGGTTATGGGCTCAGGAAATATCATTTCGTAGACTTATTGGCAGTTTTTCTTAGATGGGACCATTCATCGACTCTGAACATCCAGAGGTTAAGAAAGGGGCTGTAGACAGGAGCTTTGATGAGTTGTTTTGTCAGGAAATTCTGAGAAGGGTAACTAATCAAAACGTTGTGAATTGTTTCCTGGAAGCAACTTCATTGTTTTATAATCATTTAGCTGTTTATTCTTTCAGTTGCAAGACCATGTGGAATATGCTGGCTCTAATGTGCGTGTGATTCTTGTTCCATCTATACGGGATGCTCAGCATGATTTTGTTTTCCCACAGGTCATGATAGTGATATATTGAGTCCTAAAATAATTCCTTTACTTAATCATAGTAAGCACACGCGTGCATGTCTTGTGTATATTGTTTTTACCTATAGATGTGTATATTTGTTACTGAGATTTAGCTGTTGTTGTGCAGCCTGCTTTTGATATTCATCTCCCCAATCTCGAACATCAGGTACATGATATATATGATTCGAGTCATTCGTGTTGTGACTAGAAAGACACTGCTTGTTTGATAAAAAAAAAAAAGAAGAAGAAGAACAAACAAACAAAGAAGGTATTTGCGGTACATTTTACCACCCCATGCAGATCATACATTTTATATTATTTTCTGTCCTTTTGCCAGATAACTGGTCTCACAAATCCAGGAATTTTTGAAGCAAATCAGGTAAAAAATGATGCCCACTTTTTTACACTCAAATTTTCAATTCTTCTTGCTTGAAACTCTCAACAATGATTTTTTGGTTTTCGCTGATGGAAAATTGATTTAGAATTTCCATTTTTCAAAAACTATTCATAGCACATGTATTGTTTAGAAGTTCCTGTTGGACAATCAACTTTGAACTGTCTTGTGTTCAATACAAGCTATATTACTTTTGTTATTCAAATGTGCTAGGTTAATCTTTATAATGAGGTTCTTGTAGACCTTAATCGTATCCAAATACTGATTGCTCACCATTTGGATGATTCACCGAGTACGGTTTTTATGGGCAAATGTTTATTGTTTTGGATCAGTAATTAGAGCTCAGAATTTCTGGCTATCTGCTCGGGTAGCAAACCAAGAGGTTGAGAACCTAGGGAAAATTATAACATTCAGGACGTAAGTTTTCCATCCTGTTAAGCAAACCTAAAGGATTATAATTATAAATGAAGCTCAATTTTTTTGAACCCCTTTCAGGTTCAGTCTAGGTTTAGGTTCCATAGACGACAAATTTATATATTTTGTGCATGTCAATAGAATGTTCTGCCAGAGTAGTTGAATTTACTAGAATTCTAGCTTGGACCAAGCCCAAGCCTCGTTTCTCTAGAGCATGTTAAGCAACCTGGGTGGTCAGTAAAGATCCTGAAATTTCCCAGGATCCATTCTTGAAAATTGAAAATCTTGTGATTTTTTTCAAGATCACATGCCACTTAGGTCTAGTATCCAAGCATCCCACAACTTCAAATTTCAGAGGTTCTATTGATCCTTATTATTTTTCATAAACATGAATCTGCATCAGAGTGTGCAATGCATGTATTCTGTTTAATAGTTTTAGTTTCAGGTCAAAGTAGGCTGCTGCACAGTGGACATTCTAAAACAGATAAGCGGCGAGGAGATGTCACGAAATCCAACAGATGGAACACCCAGTGATCGAATGAGTAGACTTGCAAACCATATTATCAGTCAGCGCAGGTACGTTTGAAAATTCTTATTGAAAACTCCTCCACTTGATATTTTTGTTGTTTCAAGAGATCGGAGATCTAGAGTACCTGACTTGTTAATTTTTAAATAAATGAAAACAGCTTTTATCCTCTATATCCGCCAGCTGAAGAAGTTCCATTGGACTTTTCACTTGCTCCAGAAGCTCTTCAGATTACCTCGATTCCAGATATTCTCATCCTGCCTTCAGATATGAAGTACTTTATAAAGGTAAACATAGCACCAAGTACCTGAATCTTTTTGGTTCCAGTCCCGATTTCAAAAAAAAATAAAAATAGAAAATAGAAAAAAAGATGTGCTGGTAGGCTCAAAACGTAGCCCACTAGTGAAGGATGATGGGTTCAACTTCTTCAAACCCTTCAAGTGTTTGCTCTCTGGCACAGGTGTTGACCCTTGGTGAAGGGGAAGAGCAAAGGAAGTGCATTTGCATAAACCCAGGAAGACTGGCAAAGGGAGAGGGAGGTGGCACTTTTGTAGAGCTTAACTACCAAGGAAGTCCTGACAAGATGAATGCTTCAATTATAGGCATATAAATCTTCGACGCAAGCTCTTTTAAGTAATGTACCAAACTTGAATGTTCCTCCAAATGGCTCAGCAGCTGGTGCACAATATCAGAATTGAAGGTCTAACACAGCTAAGTTAAAATTTGTTGGATCAACATTGTAATAGAAGTTAAACTAAATGCATAGGTTGAGTGATTTGGGAGGATTTCAGACTTCCCGTCCTCCTGATGCTGCATTAGTGCCAGTGATGACCCCCGTAATCGACTTGCTATCTCGTAACAATCGAACAGTATATCAGCTGTACAAGTGATTTGGTATTAGACACAATGTTGTATTCACTCACTTCCTTTCAATGTTCTATGCAGTTATCAATTTGCTCTTACAGAAGAAACTACTGCAAAGTCATTTAAAATAAGAGTTCAGTTTTCAAGTATAATTTTGTCCAAGATATAGATCAAAGAAGTAATAACTGCTTCATCTCTGTAAAACAAAATCATTTCATTGAATGAATGAACAAACAAACAAATGTTCTGTCCTTGCCAAAAATTCTCACAAGCTTGCAGGAACATTCAGACAAGCACTAGTAAATGGGGCAATGTGAGAAGCAGAGGAAGTCTGTGTGCTCCAT